AGTTTACAAATGATTTCCAACTAAAATATTCATGACACACAGCTTCTATATGTAAATGCTAATTAATAATTCAACAAGGAAATATATCATCTCCGAATAAAAATAGAGAAGTGATGCAATTTTACCACGAATGTTGTCAGTCTTTCCAGTTATGTATTATGGTACTTTTAGTAAGAAAGACATCGTTTTCAGATGCTACACCGTCATACATATATTACTGACTAAAACTCGTTTCTGGTGCCTTCATGTAATAAAGATGTATAATTTGCTCGTGCCCCCCCCCCCCATACAAATACGTTCACGGTATGTTGCGTAGAGTTGTTGTGGTAAACAAATAACCGGGGTACAGACAAATAATTACATAAAACAAGAAAATATATGAATACATTAAGTACAGCTTTAGCAATCAATATAAATTATTATTACATTTAGAAGTTCGCAAAATACACCAATGCGAAAATAATTATTATATTAGAAGTTATATTATACATTCCCGGTAACAGCAAACAGCAGGGTTCTTACGACCAACTACGCATGCGTGGACACAAATGTCGAGTTCTGGAGTGCGGCTGCAAAGAAGACTACATGTAGTCATGGTAGCATTAATAATACATAACATTTACAACACTTTTGCTGTGAAACATAGGAACTGCCGTCTAGTTACATGCGCATGTACTGTACTCATTCCACACTAATAGATTGGTGTATCAAATTAAAGTTAGAAATAACAACAAATCAAAACGATATCCAAATTCACATTTATTTAAGAAATTTATAGATCCAAGAACACAAAACAAATGATTGAAATGTAATCGACGAGTATAATCCTTCAAGACAAGTACACAACATTGTCAAATCAGTAAGAGATTGACATATAAACCTCATAGTATGGTATATATCAAGTAATACACCCATATGAAGTATGTTCCAGCTCAGTCAGATTAAAATTAGATCATTCATGATTATTTTGTTTTATTCATGTATTTAATATAAAATAAATGAATAAAAAAAGTTTCATCTTAGATATGGGTAGCTTAAAATACAACAACTTAAAAACGTATCTGCTGCTGGCTTAGTTGTGTACCATGCATTTTGAACATATGATAATGTGTGTGGATTTACAAAATTGCTATGGCTTTTTTACATAGAATTAAACATTTTCACTTATAGAAGTAAGTGCAGGAACATCACGGGACAGAGGGCGTAGCCCGAAACAGCATTGCGATTTTTATTGATTTTATTGGAATCCTGGCCTGTGTAACCATGTGTATTTGAAACAGTGGGCGCGATGGCGAGAGAAAATGGAACACTATATAGCTATTTGAGGGGAAAATAGAAGTTTCGGGGCTCTTATGACTCTCGCTCCCGTCGAGATCTCGGCCTTTGCGTTATAGGTATAACACCATAAGTTACAGCGTGCCGTAATTTTGCGGTATTTTATGGGGTATTTTCATCATACCATATAAGGAAATACGAATTCCAAATATAGAATGATTATGCGAGTAAGCGTCCTCTAATAATAAAAACAAACATGGCTGCAATGGGGGTTTCGCCGGACTCCACACAAAGAAGTTTGCTGATTCTGTTCCTTGTATGTCTTCGTGCATACTTTGAGGTATTCCCGTAATAAACTTATAATATATGTGCGAGCAAGCCATGGCTAGTATTTGCGATTCATGCTAACAATGTAAGAACAAGAACACTACATTCATTGCAATGTAATAGGATCTAAATCTGCATGTCGATTGATTTTAATTTTTGTTTGACAGATTAACCCGCCACCAGTTAGCCCTGCTTGATACGTTGTGACGTATTTTTACTTTAATATGCGTCGTGATAATATTGTATAATCATTAACAACTATTAGAGATACACTGCACACTGGCGACGCACATTGAGAAAGTAATATAATAAAATATATTATAAAGGAATTCCCTTTTCGAATCGTGCATTTCCAGTCGAATATTTTTAGGTAGCATTTCCTATCTTGTGAACAATTACCCAGGAACGTTTTGGTAAGAATGGTCCAAACGATATTGTGACTGACTTATATTCGGCTGATGTATGTTAATTTATTGTACTTATAAGTTAGATGTATTATGCTAAATACGATTCTGAAGTCATACATGCAATGTATATGTAAATGTCAATATTGGGTAGGTAGCTTCTCCGCCATGGCTTACCCCTATACTAAAAGTGATAGCTAAAACTTTATTATCAGTACAATGTGTAACAAATTGGCATTGTTCAGTTCCTGTATGTAAACTCGGCAATTTGTATAATGACCGAATTTTGTATGTCATTTTTTGATAAAATGTTAGTTTACTCACCAATTTCAACGTGATTCCCAAAAGCGTGGCCCACCTGAAAAGTAGGAAGAGAAACTAGTTCCCATTTGAGCTACGTTATATGTTAGTAGTGAATCTAACCAAGTTTAGGGTTATTTTAGATTGAAACCTTCTAGTGGGTGGAAAGTAAATAAATTGCAGTCATTGGTATTATACGACGTGATTATATCACGAATGGGGATTTGTTCTAACTGTTTTATTACTTTTTACAATTAAACTCACTGATTGCATTCGTATGACATTAGGTATGTGTAAACATCTCATGTCACTGATTTCACTACGATTACTAATGAAATGTGAAATTTCATGTGCACTTGCATCATAGTATCTGCAATACAATTTTATTTTATTTATTTATACATGAATGACAATACAAAATGACTCTTTGTTCTGAAATTATCGATAATTGTAATACATGCTCACACTAAACTCAAAACAAAAAATCAAAAAAATCAAATACAAATAAAATTTACTTCTAAAAATGTAATTTATTTAAACCTAAGTTTAAATTTATTATAAAAAAATAAATCTAGTTAGACAGCAAAATCGTGAAACGTATAATAAAATTTACTCCTGATGTCGTGAAATGTTAATTTTCACTTTAAAAAATAGTGTACATTTCATAAAATTCATATCCTTTTATGTAACAAGTACAAATGCCAGTGCACAAATGTCAAACATTGATTTGTGACTCATTACTTTA